CCATTTGTCTTTCCCTTTGTCATTTCTGACTTGCAGCCATTTGTCTGTTGGCACTTCAGCAGGAATTTTGAACGTCACTCTTCGAGCGCCCTTGGGATGAGAACTATCAGGCCTTCGTTGACTGTATTTGCTATTGAAACGTGGGCCCATCTGAACAGTCTCTTGGTGGTTCCAGCAAGGGGCGAAAGGGATTGTTTCGAAGGCTCTGGCCATGCTTTGATCATACACAGTAGAACACCTTGGGCATATCAAGCATTTGGTTGCCCCTTTGTAGCAGCGAAGCACAAATTCCAACAAACTTTCTCCAGCCTTAGGATAACACCTGAATAACTGGTTATCCTAGCGCCAGTTGTTGCCAGTTCGCGCCCTTTATACCTTCTCGAAGTTTGTAGCGATTCTCTGGTTGCAGAGGATGCTGCACCTAGGGCATATTATCATTCCTGTATCTCCTTTATGGCACATCATGAGGTAATCCTTAAGACTAGCATATCCAACATGATTATCCTCCATTTTATACTTCTCTTTTTCTAAGTATCTCTCCAACTCCTCCATTTCAGAGCGAGGCCTCTCCATATCCACCATGTTTACCTCAACATCCTCCCCCTTAGCGTCATCATCTCCCCATCCTGTAGGTTTTATATCTTCAATTTGGATTTTTGAACTCTCTGGGGCAGAATATTTGACTAAGTAGTCAAACTTTACACTGGGTTCCCCTAACGTATCCCATACTTCTTTCTGATGGGAGGTTGGCTTCGTGATTTGGACTTTCTCCAATTCTAGCCTCAGGCCTTCAGTAACCTGTGTCAACTCTTGGTTTTGGTTTTTCTGGCCTTCAGTAGCCTGGATTTCTTTTGCAACGACTAAAGATGCTGCTTCGATCGAAGTCTCTGGTTGCTTGTGGACGCCTTCAGTGACCCCCTTATTGACTTCGACTAACACCCAACTTTCATTTTCAGTACCTTTCTCTCCTACTGGAGCGTCACTTTGGTCAGCTTCCACCATGTTAATTTCCCCAATGCACACAGGCTCGAAGTAATTGGTGTCTGCGACGTCCAAAGGATCTTCATCTACTTTCATTTTTGCTTTATCAGCGAACTTCAGTCTGCCATCTTTAATTGCATTCTGAATTAGGTCCCTGAAAAGAAAACAGTGAGGTTTTGTGGCCTAGGAAACTATGGTACTTGCAAAATCCTCTCTTCTTCCTTTGAGCTAAAGGAGGTATTTTGACATTTGATGGCACAATGAGTTGGCCATCTTTGACAAGTAAATCAAAAATCTCGTCACACTTAGTTACATCGAAGGTATAAACCTTCTTTGGGAATTTGTCACTTTTCTCATTTTCAACAATTTCTTTCCCTTTTGTGGGAACTAATAATTTGCAGGAGTAAGGTGGTTCCTGTTTTAATTCAGCGAGGTCGATTTCGACCTCTTCGAATTTGAATTCAGGATAATCTTTTATTTCCTCAGCTCCAACATAGGAGACTCTTTCCTTCTTGTTATTCTTAAAAACTCTGGCCTTTTCGGCCTTTAGCCTTTCGACCTGTCGAACCCTATCGGCTAATTGAGCCATATCCCTCAAGTATTGAGTGTCTAATTTCTTTCGAATAGAGTAATCCAGGCCGCCAACAGCCATTTCGACTAACTCATGTTCAGGAACTACTGTAAAACATCTAGATTTCAAGAGCCTAAATCTATTCAGATAATCATCTATGGGTTCAGTAAACTTCCTCTTGACACTGGCTAGTTCCTTCAGACTTATTTTAGATTGCCCCATGTAGAACTGTTCATGGAATAATCTCTCCAAAAGAGCCCAAGTATCAATGGACCCAAGAGGCAAAGTGGTGAACCATGTGAAAGCGTTCTTAGTCAGGGAACTTGGGAAATATTTGATCCTAAGGTCTTCATTATTGGCTATATCTCCTGCTTCGGTTAGATACCTGGCTATATGTTCGACTGTTGATTCGTTGGTATCCCCAGCAAACTTTGTAAACTTAGGGACTTTATATCCCCTTGGTAAATCAGTGTGCATTATGTAATCTAATATAGGGGAGGCATAATTTGGCCTTCTAATTCATGTGTTGAGGCCATTCTGGGCCATGATTCTCTCTATCATGGTGGTTAAATTATTTTCTGCCAAGATGTTATCGTTTCGAATTCTATGAACGACTGCATCAGCATCTTGATTTCGACCCACCATGACAACTCCTCTAGGTTGTTCTTCTCGAAACTCTGGGACTTCTAGCCTTTCGACCCTTGCCCCTGGTTCCATAATTTCCCTTTGTGGGCCTTGAATCATTGGGACTTCTAACCTTTGAGCCCTTGCCCCCAAATTAGCCTCCTCTCTGGCTGGTCTATAGGGTGGGTCGTTAGCAACTTGTTCTATGATAGGTACGTTTGCTCGAACTCCCGCCTGATTCTGCCTACGCCTTTCTGGGGGAGCGAAAAAATCTGCTATTCGACTCATGTTATCTGCGTTTTCTCTGTTTGTCACAGTTACATTTTGTACTATTGGGGCAAAGATTTCCTGCATAGTTTGTGCTAACACTCCTATCATATTATGGTTACTGTCATCCATTAATTGCCTAAAGGCCAACTGATTTTCTGTGGTTAAGATAGACATTGCACTATAACCCACTGATCCTTGGTTATTTGTCATAAATTGGTTTGCCCCAGACCCAGACCCTAATTATGGTGATGAATTCGATGTGGAATTGTGTAAGCCTGCCATAAAAGATGTTGGCATCCCATAAGAGGAATTTCTGGTTCCATTACCATCGAAACCGGGTGGTCTAGTTAGTGGGGTGGCGAAATGGGTTTGTGTCCCTGATGGTGGGACGAATCCCCCAGGGTAACCAATGGTTCCAGTATTTCCTAGGATCGAACTGTTAGTTGATATGCCACTTGTTCCATTAGTGGCTACATTACTGGTAGAAGATGCAACAGATTGTGCATTCGAAGGGATCACATTAGATGTTCCCATTGAGGCGGAAATATTAGTGCCTGTTGTATGAGGGATATTTTGTTCCCCTTGTTAACTGTCTGAATTAGACATCTTGTTTAAACATTTTCTTCTGGATAAGGGTTGGTTGCTATTGGTTATTCTACCACTTCTAAGGTTCATAAAACAACAAACTTATCACTCAGAGAGTACTTTTACAATGGTTATGTCTCAACAATTTTTTACTTTGTTCTAAATTTTGTAATGGCCAATGACGCGTCCCACCAGGTGTGCCAATTTGTTTACAGTGATTTCTGGTAAACAACCGCTAGTCCTCCAAACTATCAAATAATCATAATGACTGTTATTTAATCTCTCTGGTAACTTGCAAGATCGACTAGATTGATCCTAGGATGTATTGGTCATTTGGATAATTCTCATTATAGAACTGATATTCATGGTTGGTATTTAGAATGTTGTGTAGGTGTTTAACTTACTTCGATTAATCTATTAAAGATCTAAGGGCATGATCAAGTAAATGCGTGCGAAACTAAATTGCATGAATAAAATTCAATTGTAAAGACATGTAAAACTGCAGAAAAGACAAGTAAATGACTTCGAAACATAAAAGCATGTAATGTAAAAGATTCTCTGGAATGTAAAAGACTCGAAATATAAAGAAAGCGTTTAAATGCAAGAAATCAGTAAAATGACTTTAAATGAAAAATGTATTCGAATGATAAAAGCATGAAGATAAAGGCATGAAATATACAAAAGTTTCTGAAATGTAAAGTATTTGAAATGGAAAGAAAACATTTAAATGTAAGGCATCAGTAAAAAGACTTCGAATGAAAATATTTTAATGCAAAGGCTTTTGAATGATATTGACATGAAGATATAGGAAAATACTGGAAATGATAAAGAGTTTTATTAAATCATAAACACTTGGTGTTATCATACGTACATTGTTCGTGCATTCGTTTCCCTAGCCATGTGGTATTTTGAATGTTTACTGAATTTTTGTACAATAGATATGACACACGAAATCCTAATGCTAAGACTTCTATTTATACTACTTCGACCATAACGGTCTTGCTATAAGATTCTGCCACGTTCAGAACATGCAAAGCAATGCCCTTCTCTAGCTTTCACGCGTCTTCGAATGCTCCAGCGCATATATTTTAAATTCCGAACATCCCGCTTGCGTTTGAATTTCAAATGTTTTGGCACTCTTCGTTTCGAACTCATTTCTTGGACACAACCTTGTTATCATTTCGAGACTTCTTTGAATATATCCCCATAACTGTCACTCGAAGCTCAGAGTTTTGACATGCCCATTCGAAGCACTGCTTCTACCATTTCGAAATATGACATCTTGCTTTATTCCAATCGAAACATCCAACTTGCTTCGCTTCTAACAATATCATCAAAATCTTTAGCCAACAGATAGGTGTTGAGAATCAAGTGTGAGGAAGAAGTCCTACATTGATTAGAAAAGAGAAGAATAAAAACTTTATAAGTGAGAGAAGACACACCTATTACTTTAAAGTTTTAAATATATATATATATATATATATATATATATATATATATATATATATATATATATATATATATATATATATATATATATATATATATATATATATATATATATATATATATATATATATATATATATATATATATATATATATATATATATATATATATATATATATATATATATATATATATATATATATATATATATATATATATATATATATATATATATATATAAAATGTGTTTCTCGCAAAAATATATCCTAAATAAAGATGCTCCTCGTTGATCCTCAAATTGCCCGTAACACATAATTTGCATGTATCTTTTATTAATATATAAATGTGATATTTGATGGTTGATGATTTATTTAAAATAAAAGTCTAAACATGTTGTCAATAAAAAAAATCCCAAATTAAAAATTAAATTAAAAACAGAGATAACAATCGTGGAAAATACAGCACCGAAAGAATCGGATTAATCTGTTCGTGCAAGTTCGAACAGAGACAGAGCAAAGCTATGTCTCTTCTCTTCACTTCATCTCCTCTTCCATGCACTCATGTCAGTACTTTTTACTATTATTTTACTCTCTTTTTTTTCTTTCTCTTTAAGCTTCTTTCTTAATTATGCTCCTTGTTTCTCTTCATTCAATTGATTGATACTAGAAAATTGAAGCAGGAATGTAGGTTTTCATCTTTTTCACGAGGCCCAATCACCAGAAGCAGCAATTCCCTTCGAGTTGCTAATCGGAGTCGAATTACTGCATTTTTCTTCAATCCTGCACAAGACCCTATTGTCAAAGAAGTTTTCAAGGTATTCTTCTAGTTTATTCTTTTCTCTACTTTCTAGTCTAATTTCATACTTGTAAAAATTAGGATGTTGTTGTTTTAGATAGTTGTGTCATGTGTTATCAATTTTATCATATAGTGAGTGTGTTCTCTATTGTGCTCGTTTGTGTTTCTATGTAAGATCCCTGAGCGTGTGGGTTAACCTTCGGTGTCTGCTGATTTCTCAGATGTGGTCTTTGTTGTCGAGTGTAGAAGTCAGATTAAGCTTATTTTTGCCCATAGTAAATATGCTTACTATTGATTCATGAACAAGAGTTCGTAACATTATAAAACTGATGCTGGAAGATACAGTGAGGAAAATGTTTAAACAAGTTTTGATCTTTCTATTTAAACAATGTTTAAAACAAGTTTCGATCTTTCTACTTAAACAACACACTATTAAATTATCAGTTAAAACTAATTTCTCCATACTACTACTAGTCTTCTGCTTGTGGTGGTTAAAATTTAGTTAGAATAACGTTACATTAGATGAAGTTATTTAATTCGGTCTTATTTAATTTTCCATCTTATAGTATCATATGGCCGTCTCATTTTCTGATTTCAACTCATGTACCACTGAAACATATGATGCAAAACTCATATTTCTTTTAGTGGGCATAATTTAAAATGACATTTCCATGTCTGTCGTGAGTGTACTGGATAGTGAAATATATGTCAAGCATACAAACTCCAGATTCTGTAGAAAAATTTGCAGAGTCGTAATATATAAAGAACCATTAGAATTTATTTATTTGTCAATTTTCTCATCAATTTTTATGCTTCCTTTCTCTATTAACTGATAGAAATGAGCCTGTGTAATAACATTGGTATGAAAATACAACGTATTGGGGACGGGAGACCAAATCTCGTGACGTGTGTTCCATCGATAGATAAATTATAATATTATAGTTAATCTGTTACCATTACTTGTAATCTTCAAATGAAATTCTTCTGTCTTAGTATATGTCAACAAGTTGCTATCTGGATGGTAAGCTGACTTACTATCCCTGATTCTTATGGTGCAGCTATATTCAATTTTGTCACATTTCTATAGGCTCAAAAACACTCTGTTTTGGCCACGGAAACATTCATTGATTGGCATTGAGACCCGTGTTTGTTTTTCTCAACTTCCATTATTTCTAATTTGCAGGAACCAGTGGCATTCTTAGGTGGCGTGTTTGCGGGTATTTTAAGGCTTGATTTGAACGAGGAGCCTCTCAAGGAATGGGTTACGAGGACCGTTGAAGCTTCTGATATCAGTGTAGAAGAAACTAATGCAGAAGGGTCAACTACGGAAGCTGCTCCGCAAGAGATTGAAATTGAATAAAACTTGTACTTTTTATTTTAAAACTTGCGTAGCATCAAAATGCCAACTGCACAGTAACAGTTTGCTTAATTGATTATAAATTATAATATTCTAAGCACACTTTTAGCAATATACCGTAGTGTCTTCTTGTACAATGTCTGACACGCATTCTTAATCTGTAAGCAAAGTTTCCTTAACTGCGAAGGTTTTAAGAATGTACAATATGCATGTATGGTCATCTTATGGCAATAATTACCAGCACACGCCATTTGTTTGTTTTTTACTAAAACATTGCTTGGTGTGCACGACACTTTCTCAGCCATCACCTCGTGCCAAAAATTAAGTTGCAAAATCTAATCATATGAAGATAAGTGTATCTAATGTTACTGTTATGGGTTAGTTAGAACTAAGAAATCTTGTTTGTCATATATACTACTGATATTAGGACAGAAGTCCTAGCCTCAACAAAAGAAAGTATTTTAAGGAACCCAACCATTGTCTAAAGTCAACAAAAGAAAGTATTTTAAGGAACCCAACCATTGTCTAAAGTCAACATAGTGTACATATTTAGCTGAACTACCACTATCATTTGTTTTTTGGTGATTTACAAAAATTTTAGGTAAAGAAGGTAACCACACACCAGAGTACAGTATTTTCAAAATTAGAAGTCAAATAAAGAATGTCTTATGCATGTATATAGCATCAACAAATTGTTAGTGTTCCTCTACGACCGCAAAATCTCAGAGACAACAGCTAAACCAAGCAAATTATCACTAGTATTCATGTCAGATCATCAAAGACCGAAAATCCACCCGATGGATGTGGAAGCACAACCACACCCTAGGACGCATTTAGTATCTCCTGGTTCGTCTAGATCAGAAAAGGCCATCCCTGTGCCTCCTCCACTACTGCATCAACATGCTATGCCAGCGATAAACTCTTCCCAACCAAAAAGAAGCTGCTTTTGCAGGTGCATATGTTGCACACTAGCCATGTTATTCCTTCTTCTCATTATCTTGGCAGCATCTGCAGGAGCTCTTTACCTCATCTTCAAACCAAAGCTTCCAAGTTACTCAGTCGACACTCTGAGGATATCTGATCTGAGGCTTAACTTAGACTTGAGTCTCTATGCAAAGTTTGACGTAAAGATCACAGCGACAAACCCGAACAAGAAGATTGGTATATATTATGAAAAAGGAGGGAAGTTGAGTGTGTTGTACACAAACACAAAGCTCTGTGAAGGGTCTTTACCTGAATTCTACCAAGGTCATCAGAACAAAACAGCGCTTAACGTGTCGTTAACAGGTCAAGTTCAGTCTGGAAGGACTTTAATGTCGGCGTTACAGCAACAACAGCAGACAGGAAGAATTCCATTGGATCTCAATATCCATGCACCAATTGCTATCAAACTTGGGAGGTTGAAGTTGAAGAAGGTGAAAGTGTTGGGTCAATGTCAGTTGGTGGTTGATAGCTTATCATCTAATAATCTTGTAAGCATCAAGGCTAGCAACTGTAACTTCAAAATGAAAGTTTAAGTTTCATCACGGGAGAGTTTGCCTTAGTTCATGTGATTTTCTTTTTATTCTTACTATTTTTTGAATTTTAAGACTTGATTCTTTTGAGAATAATAAACTGCTCTTGTAGCAGTTCCTTGCAGTATTTTTTTTTTGTATTTGTCTTGTGTGTGTATCTTTGTTGGTTAACTATATTAGTTCGAGAACACATCGAACTGGCTTGATTATAATTTTATATATTAATCAATATAATTTATTATTTTAAATGCATAGCCGATTAGCCGGTCTCAAATCCGGATAAAAAGAGAGGGTTGTGTTAGACATTCGACATCCAACATAAAACTTTGTGCTGTGTTCAAGTGTGAGTTGTTAGTCTCACATTGCTTAGAAAAATACAGGTTGAACACTTTATAAGTGAGAGGACCCATACACCTATCACTTTGAGGTTTTGGGTGAATATGTGGTGTCTCTCTCACTTGTGTGTTGCTCTTGACCCAATGTGGATGCTCCTCATGATGACCCAACAGTGGTATCAGAGCCGATGGTTCAAGGGGTCGGCTCCTTGCATCCTGACAATGTAGTGGTTAGACGGAGTGTCTCGTTGTGGTGTCGGCAATGACGGTACAAGTGTATGTGGATGAAAGAGCTTCCGCTTGAGAGGGAGCCCATATTGCTTAGAAAAGTAGAGGTTGAGCATTTTATAAGTAAAAGGACCCATACACCGATCACTTTAAGGTTTTTGGTGAATATGTGGTGTCTCTTTCACTTGTGTGTTGCTCTTGACCCAATGTGAATGCTTCCTATGATGACCCAACACTTTGTTGATAGGTTGTTGCTCGTAAGCAACATGTTGTATGGTTCAAGTACATTGTCAAAAGAGTAAGGGTTGTTGTGTCGTTGTCTGGATGCAGTAAAAATAAGCAAGAGTTCTTACATTTTCGTGAACGGGTGTTGGTAAAGAAGTTAGTTCAGGAGAGTAAGATTCATTTTGGATCGTGGAATATAGACATGCTTACTTGAAAATTTATGGAAATAGTGGATATTATGATTAGGAGGAAGATCAATTTTATGTTCCCACAAGAGAATAAATGGAGAGGTGAAAAAACAAAAGAATTAGACAGTTCAAGATTTAAGTTTTGGTACATCAGAAAAGTTAGATCAAGAAATTGGGCAGGGATAATTGTGGACATGGTTGGAAGAAGGATATTGTAGATATGAAAAGAGTATGAGATCGAATCATAGCCTTAAAATTTGTAAAGGAACAAAAAATATTTAATGTTATTAATGTTTATGCACCTTATGTTGGCTTAGGATAACACCTTAAGGTAAAATTTTGGAGGATTTAGAAGACTTACTTCAGGATATATCCCAAGGAGAGAAGTTATTTTGTGAGGGGGTTTAAATGTAGGGAGCGTAGCAAGAGGTTTTTAGAGTGTGCATGATGGGTACAGTCTAGGGAAGGTGAATGTAGAGGGTAAATCCATCTTGGAGATTTTGTCAACTTTGAAATTACTATAACAAATTGAAATTATGTTCTTAAGTGGACATATGTTGGAACAACTGGTCCAACAAGTTAAACCAAATTTAACACCCAGATGAATAACAACACGGAGTCAATGTAAAAGTAATAAATAATGTCCGATATTGGTAACCAAGTGTCATACCCCGAATTTGCCCTATTGATTTTTAATTAATTCATTCTTTATTATTATCAGTTTCTTTATAAAGTGTAGATTACTATTGATAATTTTATTGTGGGATTTAAACCTTGAAGAGGGAGTGTGTTTTAATAGAGAGTTCATGGGTTTTTTTAAATCAGAAAAGCCCATGTAATTTGTTTTAGGCCCATTAAGACAATTTCGTTGGCCCGGTTCAAATAAAAAAGGAAGGTGTTGATTATAAACTAAAAAAGGGACATTTTGGGCCATTAAAATCTGATGGCCCATAAAAGGGCTCGTGCATTTTGATAGAAAGAGGGGTATGTTTCAAATTTTGAGGCCGAAGGCCCAACTGAAGGAGGTTGGCCCGTTTTTATGGAGGGATTGCTAAAGGGCTTGTTGCTTCATTTTGTGTTAAGCCCATTGATGTTAAGTTGGGGAAGGACTGTTGACCGAGATCAATGTTTGGATTAAGATTACGTTATTATTATTATTACTATCATTAAACATTATTAACATTATTGCTAATAATATGACGCTTTATTTTAATTTATTGATTTTTATTGAGACGTGGTTGACTAAAGTCAACACAAGGGACTAAGTAATCCAAGCCCAACAAACGTCCACTGTTCAAATCTAAACAAAAGAAACGCACTGTTGAAATCAAAATAAAATCTTTCTAAAACAACATATTTGAATCAAATCTTGCAAAAAAGACAAAAATGGATATTACAAATACGTTTGTTCAGACACATTATAATATTACAAACTCTAATCTTATACAAAGGGAGAATCAATTACAGATCCAAATTGAATCCCTAAAACAAAATCTTAATCTTCCTAATTCCTAATACAACTACAAATATAACGACAGTCATAAACAAACTTCCTAATTAATCTCTAACCTAAGACTATAAATAAAACCCTAAAAAAATTCTAAAAGGGAAGGGGAAAGAAAATTGAGACGAACAAGTTAACAAAGAGATATACAAAATAAGAAGAGAAAGAGGCTTGCGGTCTTGAGTCCCCAGTTGAAGCCACCTTCATCCAGAATCTGGGTTTCAAAATATGAAGCCCTAGATCTGTGAGGTTCACCAACACCACGCCTTCATCATCCAGTGTACCTGCAAGACAGAGAGAGGAGAAGGAGATTAGAAGGAGAAGCGGAAAACCAGAAAGGAAAAGTATACGACCAATTTCATTGCAAGAGAGGTAATCTAAAACACTTAGCTTAGGTTTTTTTATTATTGTCGAACGTTTTCATGATTGATGTTTGATTGTTGTGATTCTGGAAATTTGGGGTTTCCAGGGTTAAGATTCTTAGATCCTAGGGTTAGGATTCTTAGGGTTGTTTGAAGATCAGGGTTAGGGTTCATAGTAGTTGTGTGTTATAGGTTTTTGGTTGGTTAGGATTCATCAATAACCCTAAGGGTTCTTAGGGTTCTATGAACCCAGATGAAGATCCACGGCGGGAGTCTTTGAATGTTTGAAGTTTTCGTTTGAATGTCAACCGGAAAACTGGGGAGAATGGATGGTTGGTGGTGGTTCAAGGGGGACGACGCAGACAAGAAGATTTATGACCACCTGAGTTTTAGAGAGAGGTCAGCGCCTCTCTCTCTATGTTTTTATTTTAGTAAGAAGGAGAATTATAGAGAGAGAGAGAGAGAGACGGAGAAAGAAAAAATGACAAAGAGCGGAACATATAACCCTCCCTGATTTTGTGTCTGCGTGTCCATGAACCCTACAACGCACTTCATATCACAACCTTTAGATCAGTATCAAACGTCCCATAAGCGTGCTTCCATCATGATTCCATGGTGTCTCCCACACCTTGTCTAACGGATCACAC